GTGTCTCCTGCCGGCCATACCGGGGGCTCCCCGGCATGGTCTTACCCAACTTCAGTCAGGAGCACCAACGTCCAAAGAACTTCCGTGTCTTCTTTCGCGCAAGTCCCATGGTGTTCTTCAACTTTTTCTTTTGCTCCTTGTGCTCTTTGATCTCATTGAAAAGTTTCTCGCTACCTTTCAAGAGTTCATCCATGACTATCCACTGGAAGGGCTCCTTCCCCACTTCTTCCCGATATTGCATTGCGAAAGAACTGAAATCCTCATTTGTCAATGCATCTGCAAGTTCATTGCCGTCTCTTCGCACCCAGGTGAGAGTCGCATAGGCATCTTGTCGTCTAAGCGTCTCTGCAACCTCAATGACCAGCAATGTGACTGGAAACTTTGTCGACAGTCCCTTGCGCAAGATAAAAGCGTTTCCCTTGTTGTCTGTAAATGCCTCTGCGTGGACCTCAGCTGTATCACCAGCGCCCCTCAGCCAAAGTTTGAGAGCCATCAGGGTGGCCAATAGCTCAAGAGCCGCAATGACCCTCTTCAGGTTCTTTCCCCGGTAGAACAACCAGGGAGCCATCTCTTCGGTGACCCGACATGAGAACCACCGACATTCCCTGCTGCAGCTAGACTCTTCAAGCCAGCCACCGACCCATGCTGCATCTTCTGTGGCCTTGGCGTCCGTCCAAATCCTCAAAGGAGGGCTGTCTACCCGAGCCGGCTGCTTGACCACTTCCATCCTCCCTCCAGCCTCTAGCCTCTTCGCTATCCAATCCAAGATGAACTGCACTGCCCACGGAATTGTCATCGCACCTCGATTGGACTGTATTGCTGACGACCAGGCGTAGAGGGGACCCAGCAGGGGCCTCTCCCATGGCAACGCGAGGGCCGAAAAACCCAATCTTCCAAGGCCAGCTGCAAACTCACGATATGTGATCTCCTTGCGCGACCTCAGGGAGCGTATCCAGCCAAGGATCCACTCTGCCCGTCTCTGCGAGAGGCCCATGGAAAGGTCCCTGTAATCCGTGGTCAAGCCTATCCACTCTGTCGACAATCCCCCTCTCTGTTTGGCCCACTTGAAAGGAGCCCCAAGTGCTGCCATCAAGGAAAAGGCCAACACACCGCCAATCCTCCCTTCGCAGCCTATTGTCAAAACCTCCAGGTCATCAGCGTACAGCAACATATCATTTGGAAAGCCTTCGCCCAAGACCCAGTAAACTAGCCTCATCAGCGCCGCACTCAACCTTGCCCACCAATATGGTGTAGAAGCAACGCCAAAGGTCCCAACTTTGTTCACATAGACGGTTTTGGATTCTGTTGATGCCTTGCATGCCAGAAAACCTTGCTCGTCCTCCATGTACTTGAACCGTCGGTGAGCCTTTGCGAAGTCCCCCACCAGTGACAAGACCGTCACCTTCTCAGCCTCGTACTCCTCCAGCAATGCCCGTTTCTCACGAGGCCCAGGCATCCTTACCTTGTCCCTGCGCCTGATCCTGTGATTCACCATCACGCCATGCGTCCCGTCGTGGATGACCCTCTTTTTCCCTGTCACCTCATCTTCCACAAGAACAGCCAAGGCAGCCACTGCCCTGTTCTCACCGTAGGTCTTGATGAACTCCTCCTCCTCCATCCTGGCCATGAGGCCTTCCCGGACCTCCTGCTCCAAATGCTCTGTCAAGTACTTCTCGTGCTCTGCTGCCGAGGAGTAGTTATCCTTTTGCCATGCTGCACTGCTCCAATCCTCTGCCTCCAAATTCCATCGAAGTTGCTCTTCAAAGACCTCAGGCGTCCTAGGGAGTTCATTCAGCACACCCAGAGGAAGCCCCGTCTTCGCCTGCTCCAAGAACTTCCAATCTGGGTCTCCGGCTCTCTCCAACACTCCTCCCATCAAACCCAGGAAGAACGGCTGTCCTTCCTCCGGGTCCTTTTGCACTGGGATCTTCAAAGCCTCTGCCAGGATGCTCCGGACACTGCTCAAGAATCCTTCGTCCCTCACCAAGCTGAAGCTGTCTCCTCCTCTTGCCATTCTGAAGGCCTCCTTCTACACCTCCGCGACACTGCCAAGCCTCTTGACCGCCTCCATACGAAGTTGAAGCCTGATCTTCGTCCACTCCTCCCCAAGCACCTTCTTCCTCCTGCTCGGGGGCCATCTTCCAGGCGATGCCAGCCCTCCACCATCATGAAATGGTGCCTGCAAGCCCTTCCACCGGCAAGTACGGGGCGGCCCATGACCTCCAGGAAAAATTGGCTTCATCGGATCAACCTCAACACTGCTCTTCACCCCTTGTTGGATCTTTCTTCGCTTTCCTTCAGGCTCCTCATTCTCAGCTGCCTTCCTCTTCTTCTGAACCTCTGCGTTGTCGAAAAACTCACCCCCCCCCGTGCACTCTTGACTAAAGGAGGTGAGTATAGCCTCAGCTGTCCACTTGCACAATGCTGGGGGCCATGCTGCCGACTGTGCTGTCCGGAACACCCCATTGTCCTTGCCAATCAGGGGGGGCTCCCCCTGGCTGCCGTGGCAAGGGGCCAGCGTACCAGCCTTGTGCATCAAACTGAGGTGGACCTGAATACATTGCTGGATGAAGTGGAGCAAAAATCCGCATCAAAAATCTTGTGGGCTTGGGAGAGTCTGTGCCAAATGCTGATTGTGCAAAGACCACTGTTTGTACGTCCTGTTGCTCCAGTAGTTTATAAAACTGCCAAAACTGCCACATTGAAGCCGGCTGGTGACCAGCCAATCGTTCATGGCTTGTCCGACCAAGATCCTCTGGTTGCTCCATGATGCCCACTGACCGCTTGCATGCAAACTGACGTTTCAAAGCTTCGAATGAGAAGTCTGCCAGGATTGTACCGAATTCTGCCTTGTGAAACCGCTCCCCTCTGTTCCGTGGGAACCCTCTCGGGTAGGATGAGCTCCTCAGCGGGAAAGGCCCCAAATCATTTGCCCACACTGCCCTTGAAAAGGTTGAACAGGGTGGAGTAACAAGGACTGCGTAGAACATGCCTTCAGCAATGAGTCGCAGCCACTTCTTCTGTACCGAAGGGATTGTGAAATCTGATTTCCTGTCCGACTGGATGTCCAGTTCTGTGATCACCACATGGACACCCTCTCGTGGTGCAAGTCTCCTGAGAAACCCTGCAACTGAGTTGCGCCTCTTTCTCCCAGAAAACACGTATAGGACCCGAAGGATCCTTCACTTGCTCCCGTCTGTATCAGGAGCTGTTGCTTCCTTCCGCACTTTCGGGTTGCATTCGTACATGGGGTGACGACTGCTGTAGCAAATGCCGCAGACATGCTTGTACTTGCACTTTGCAACCTTGCATTTCTCACCCGGCGTGTTGTACCGGAAGCAAATCATCTCACCTTCAGGCGTGTGTGTTGCACAGTGTGGATTGCCGCCTTTCCCCTTGCCTTTCTTGGCCTTCCCTTTCTCCTTGCCTTTGGCACCCTTCTCTGTTGCTGCCCACTTCGAAGGTGCCGATGACTGCTCTCTCCAAGGAGGTGTCGGCCTCTTTGCATACAAAGCCAATGGCGTTGTAAAATTTCTCTCCTTGATGGTTGCGTCCTTCCATGCAAGCTTGAGGGCGACTGTGAGCGGCTTCCCCTCCGTATTTGTAATCCTCACTGCCTGCTTCCTGATTGCTCTCTCATAGGCGATGATGAGCTTCCATGGTGGAGCTGCGAAGGTCTGGCCCTCTGCGTCTTTTGCACTGAGGCCATACACGTAATCCCCAAGGAGGTAGTCCTTGTACTGGTCGACTGTGTCCTCCCATGCCCCTTGAAGCTCATGCCTATTCGAATGCTTCAGCGATATCATGACCATGGCGTTCTTCCAAATCGTCAGGCGCCGACGAAGTTCTTCAGCGTTCGCTGGTTCAGGCACTTTCGTAGATCCTCGGCGCGTGGCCAATCGGCCCTTGGAGTCCCAAATAGGCACCACGGAATCGGGCTCAATTTCTTCTTTCGAAACAACTTCTGTGAGCTCTTCGGCCCGGTATTCGCCACCTTCAACCTCCGCCAACTTCTTCTCAACAAATTCTTTGGAGGGGTAAATCTTGTCATCCAAGTACCCGTACCTCTTCTCTAATGCTGAACGCATAGCCGCCCATTCTCCGGCCACTACCGGCCTTGACCACTGCAGCGTATCGTACTCGGCATCAACTTCTGCAGCACGCTGGCTCCTCGTCTTCGCGTTGATGAATGCGCAGGTGATTGCTGCCACCTGCACCCTATCCTCCAATGTGCGGCTTGCGTCCGACTCCCAGTGGTCTTTCAGCACTGCTACCAAATCATCTCTGTCCTTTGCAAAGTTTGATAACTTCTCAAGCGATGTGACACCATGGTGGTAAAACAACTTCTGGTTCTCAATGCTGACCTCATGCCGTGACAGCAAGTATTTGATGTCTGTACCTGCTGCTTCCAGAGCCTTGTTGCCCTCATCGTCCGTGATTGCAGCGCGCGGCATGACGACCCCGGGCCCTCATTCACGCCCCGCGCCCGCCTGATTGAACCGTCCAGGCAAGCAGCATGCGATGCTGATCATGACACTGCGGTGTCCCTCGTGCATGCTATGCACATGTCTGCACACAAGCGTTGTGACAGAATCTAAATGCTCTGAGGTGCGACCCCGCCTCCGTCTCCACTGGCTTCCGTCTTGCACTTGCTGTGCACCGCCCCCAAGCCTGAGCGGCTCGCTCCGCCCAGGGTTATCCCTACCTCCTGCCAGTGGACCTCACCAGGTGCTACCTAGTGCTCCTTTGAATGCTGCTGCACTCTAGCCGCCCCTGGGTGCGACCCAGGGTGTTTACTGCTGTGCCCGACTCACCGTGCCCGAACGACCTTTCTTTTCAGTCGCTGAGACCCAATTCGTCTCTCGAGTCACTTGTGGACTCACTTAGCTGCCCGTCTCCTCCACCCCAACACAGCTTGCATCGGAGTGTATACTCTTCGGGCGCCGGAAGTTCTTGGTGGGTCTCTGACCTCACAAAGAACCTCTTCTTTGCCATCCAGCAGCCTTTGTCGCCCAACCGATGCAGAGTACCTTGCCCTGCACGCCTGTACACGACCACATAGCCGCCCTCTCTTTCCTCTTCCAGCGCTTCATTCATCTTCCTCCGCTTTTGGCCGCCATGGCCTGGGCCCTCAGTCTCCCTCTCACTTTGTGAGCCATCATAGATCGTAGTGTCCTCATCGGAGACCTGGATTGGCATCTGCGGAGCGTGCTTGGTCCCAAGGTTCTCCTTCCAGGCCTCAACAACGCTGTTCGCCTTCTCTTGAGGAACCGTCCACTTCTCGTGCAGCCATACCTTCAGCTCTTCAAGGATCGACCCCTCGTCTAACTCCTCATATGCTGACTCACCACGCAGGACTGCTACAATCCTCTTTTGCATCTTCTTCACGATTGCGTTGTATGTCCTCACATAGACGTCGGAACCCTCTGGACACCATCTCCCCAAGAGGTCCCTGTCCGACTTCTCCACGCCCAGTGCCGCCAGGCCACTAGGGAGGGTTGCACGTTCACTGTGCTCAGACCAGAATCTCTCCCAGCCTGAGGGAATAAGCCGCCCATTGTAGCCCTCCAGCAAAGCCAGCGTCTTTGAGCTTCCTGCTACGGCCTCCGCATACTTCACATGTGATGCCCCGTAGGCTGTCCCATAGAAGCAACCCTCCGGAAAGACATACTCTCTTTCTCTTGGCATCTGCAACTTGACCAGGTCAAACCCAATCGACAGCCAGTCGTCATGCAGGACGTACGCATCTTTGGCGATGAAGATGGGCAACTCCCGAACTCTCTTTCCTGCCCCCGTCGTCTTTGACTGATGCATCATCCCGACCAGCTGCCCGTCGTAGAAGCGTAGCTCAGAGGTCTTCAAATGCGCTGCATCATCGAACCTCATCGACGCCCACATTTTGATGAGCTTAAACCATGCACATACCCGGACCTCGAACTGCACGGCGCCATCCACCACCAAGGTCTCCAGCGGTGCAATGAAACACCCCAACCAGCGGGGCGCCCGCCTGATCGGGGGTGCCTTCTGCTCCAACTTCCTCGTCAGCTCCTTCATGACAATCTGTGGGAAGTGCTGATTCATCAGGATGTCCTCTTCTGCAATGCCAGCCGTCCTCTCAAACCAGGCCACTGCTGCGCTCACTGCCAAGGGAATGGAAGGACCCATCCCCTCCTCTTCACGAGCATACATGTAATCAACCAATGTAATACTCGTTGGCCTCATGCCTGGTTTGTACAATGCATCTGACCACTCCCTAAATCGCTCCCACGAAGCCAGATACCGTCGGACCGTCGAGATCCGGTATTTGCCCAGAAGTGCATCCTTGGCTCTCTGGGGATTCATGGTCTTCCTCATCTCGTCCAGCACCGGTGCACGGTACCTCATCAACTCATCGACGAGCTTGTCCATGACCTTGTCGGTCACCTCCTCCTCTGCAGCAACCCTGCCGCTCTTCAGCCTCACTGTTCTGCCCAATGTACCCCTCTTCGGCAAGCTAGGTGTCACTGCTGGCACCACTGGAGGCTCTAGGGTCTTTTTCCTCTCCTTCTCAAAGGCAGCCTTTGCATCCAGCAAGTTTTGCATGGATCTTGTTGACGATGACCCAGATACCTGCTCATCTAGATCCACCATCTGGACTGCCTCCCTGACCAGCCCAAGCACAAAGGCCGCATGCCACTGCTTGCACTCAAGGCCCAGCCGCTCCGCCAGCTGCTGAGCCAACACATCTTCTGAACCATGGCTGATCGCGAGCCTAGGGCCTTCAAGGCCGATCTCAGCCAGGAGGTTCAGAATCCTTGCGGATTCCTCAGGGTCGGGGGTGCACGCACCCCCTTCCATCCTCCTGAAGCTGAAACTCCTACCCTAGAGCCTCAAACCTCCAAGCATGAAAGTGAAATGCGGTCATGACAGGTCATGAATGCATGACTTGGCAGCGAGGTTGTTTGAAGTTACCCCTACATCAAAAGTGCCACACATCTGAGTCTATTGTGTCCCAGCCTTCAAGCCACGCTTTATGATTCGCGTCAACTGCAGGTACGACTTGGACGCGCGAAAGAGAAGAACAAGAAATGAAAGGTCTACCAGGAATTTCTGACCAATTTAACCTCCCTGCCCGACCTCTGCCCTGGACCTGGCCGCCAAGGTGCAGGTTTCGGTATTGGCTTCGGCTTGGGTCTCGACGTCTTCTTCCACCGCGGGAACGGATCTTCCGCCTCCGCCTCGTTGGGCGCGGGCGGCTCCTGAGCGACGGCGACGCTTCCCGTTGGTGCCGAATCTGGTGACAGCGTCCCCTTAGGACTTCAACAGCTGGTGCTTGCTGGAGCAGCCGGGCAAGAAACCTTGCAACTCCTGCCCTTAGGGTTTCAACCCTGTAGCTTAAAGGCTTCCAGTTGCATCGAAGTTCTCTGCCTGTTCAGATTCATTATGTCTTGCAAAGAGGCTGCGGGGCCATGCAAGTTTACCCATAGCCCATAGCTCTGGATTCAGCCTGGTGACGAGGCCCCAACAAGGAGCCCATCGAAGGAGCCCTGAAGCTTTCCCAAGCTCAGCCAGGCTTCAACACTCCCCAATGACTGAGCGAATTCCGCAGTTGGCTTCTAGATTGGAATTGAAGAGAGTAAAGGGTTCCTAATGTTCCTATCTCAATAAAGGGTTCCTAATGTTCCTATCCTAATCCCAAATTTGGAGGCTTTCTCGTTTCGTTCGGTTCTCAGTCCCACGTTTCTTTGGGCGCACGCATCAAGTCACGACAATTAAGAGGGAAATCTTGACGGCAACAGCAGCTCTTAGGATCGGTTACAATGTATTGACAAACATATTTTCTCCACAGGGATTCCAAAGGCTTACGTAAGTTGAGAGAGAGAGAGAGAGAGTAGCCCGTCGTCTTTGTTGTTTTGTTGCTTTCTGTGAGGCTTCCGCCTTGCTAAAGCAGCTAAGCAGGACATAGACTCACAGACCTGTCCTCCAAGTCTGTTTGAGACTGACTTGACGAAGGTGGGCCATCCACCTGCTCCACCACAATCCGCGGGATCGTCATCGGCTCAGCTTCTTCAGCTTTGCTGGCACGTCGCTTGGGAGCGTTCGAACGCTCCACAGTCGATCTCCGGCGCTCCAATCTGGTTTCGACGGTGACCATCTGCTCAGTGACCGGTCCCTCCTCTGGTCTCACTTCTTCAGTGATGGGCGTCTCCTTGACCTGTCCTTGCTCGGGCCTGTAAAAGTAATGATGGTGCTCGTGAATGTGCTCGTACAAATGCACCTGGGTCGAGCAAATGCCATTAGGTCCAAAAAGTCCAGCACTTATCATTATCATTGATTCAACCCGGCCTTAGCTTTTCAAGAATAGAAGTTTTGTGAGTACTCTGAGACTCCAAACGACAAAAAGACACAAAAACAAACAAACGTACAAGACGCTGTTGGCGCCGGCAGCACGGGCAAGCTGGCCACGGCCGGCAAATGCGGTGCCCTGTAGGGCCGTGGCCGGCGACGCTCCAAGGCGGGCCATGACATCGAAGTGGACGGATTTCCGGCGCAACTTGCGAAAGTATGGTGGTCTAGGAGTCTAGAATCTTGTGACATGACATGCCGACATGCCTTTGGTTGCCCAGGCACATTTCGAGATCTTACATTAGCCTCACAAATCTCTCGATGTTTCCGCTTGTGTCACAACTCAGTTCCTACTGGAGCCTCACACGGCCACAGAAAAGAACTGCAGCATTGCGAAAAGGTTCAAGATTCGAAAGAGAGAGAGAGAGATAGATGTGGACTGATCTTGACAGTAGAAGATCTTGAAGCCTATCTCCTTGTCCAGTGCAATGCTCTCTGATACAGAGGATCTACATGCAACAAAACCCACTCGGCGGTGGCTCCGGAGGCGGCTTTGTGACTGAAGCACTTTGCACCCAAAAGTATGCCACGGAGCGCAGCCAAAACAGCTGGTCCTCAGCCAGTCCAAGTGATCTTCTTCTGGGTGCACTCGTCCACCAGAAGCCTATATGTCCACAGCCAGCGGGACTTCGAGTGCGAGTGTTTTGATCGCTTGTGACAGAGTGGGTGGACAAAGCTTACATGGTCACAATTGTCATCATTAGATTTCACGCAAAAACAGGTTTTTGTGGGATGAGCCCAAGTGTAGAGTGAAACTTCAAGTGTGCTGCACGTGACTGGCCCATTTCGACTGTCGGAAACTGAGGTTCACGTTGCTGCTGTGGAGAATGATGCGAATATGCTAGTAGCAAGGACGCTACTAGTAGCTATAGGGCATTACTACTAGTAACACGAAGCTACTAGTAGCAAGGGCATCGCTACTAGGAGCAAGAAGCTGTCTTTTTGAATTGCACTTGGCTGAACGCTCTTATGGTGGGATCTCCAGAGGTGCCGAGGTGCCTCTTGGCACCAGCATGCATGTGAAGGCTTGCCAAAAGAAAAGAGCTCCTTATCTATACTGCTATGAACCGAAGAAAAGGAATGGTTTGACAGTTGCAAAAACGCCTGGTGCTGCAGAGTCTGTCCATCCAAACCTCCTGTCAACGACGGTCAAGGCTCCCAGACCCTGTAATGCCCTCGATGGTGGGGTAGTTGAACATCACAGTGGATGGCAAATTCACCTTGAACTCCTGCAAGGCGAAGGCTGCTGAGGCACCGGTCAATGGGGTCCAAAGCTTGTGTGTGGGTGAAAAGGAGTACTTTCCGGAGTTAAAAGTAATTTACTCCTGATGGTAATTCCTTTTCAGTTCTCGTATGCTCGCATGGTCGTTCGAGGAATTAACTGCAGAGTTCATTCTTTTTCCCTGTGTCCCAAAGTATAGTCACTGAGACATTGTTCTTTCTCTAAACCGTTCTAGTTTCCTAGTCTCCCAAGATAACTTTAAACAGACTTTGAAAAGAATTAAATCCAGAGTTAATTATGTGTCTCCTTGTCCCAAGCAATGGTCACTGAAACCACATTGCAAAAGAATTAAGTCCAATGTTAATTCTTCAGATCACTACTACATGTGAGTTAACAAGTTGAAAAGAATTGACTCTTTATGTGTATATATATATATTATTATTATTATTATTATTATGTTTTCGCGCCCTATGTTGGACCAAGGATGGATAAGTTCTTTCTAACTCCTGTGTGTGTGTGCGCACATCTCAGATGGCAGGGTGCCTCCACGGCATTACAGCACAACGGTAAATCGGAAGTCGGTGATGCGGCCTTTAGGAAAGAAATGGATGTATAGGAAGGAAGAAGTTGTGAGTTGTGACTCCCTACCTACAGGAATGTACTTACAGACTGATCAAAGCTCTTGACCAAGTCTTGGTTCCCAGGCCAACAACACCAGGACCATCACCCATTCCGCCGAAAATCGTGATCCCCTGGTGATCGCTCCGACTGCAACTGCGTGCGCAACTCCACGGAGGCCAAGGAATCCACACCGGACCTCATCATGGGATTGTTCGATAAAATGAGTATCTCCCCTGGAGTAAGTGTCGAGGAACTCATCTTGTGATATGGAACTCATTTGATGTTCATGGATTTTTTCAAGTTTCTCCTTTGAAGAGTCTGTTCGTGGCTCAAGTCGGGACAACCCGTCACAGCCGTTCGGATGACAATAAGTATTTTCCAAATTTGCAAGCCAGCAATGGGAGGAAGTCGTAGAAAATGACATGATCGAGCTGAAACAAAGGCATGCATTTTAGGTTCAAGCTGTGTTCAGTTCTACGAACAATTTCGCAGGTGGTGCAACTGCCATGATAAGAGCGGTAATCCAATGGATCTTGTGTTTCGGCCAACGAAGCGACGTGTATTGTGAAGAAGCATCCACCTACAAGAACAATGTCTGAATTCTCCACAAAAGGAAAGGCAACAAACACCGCTCTGGGCGTCTCACATCTCAAACACTGACAAGCTCGACCTCCGGATGAGTTCCCGACTCCATCAAGGGAGTATCGCCATCCACCTCGTCACCACCTCCCACCATGTTCTTTACCATGGCGATGATGTGGGTCCTTGGCAGCACCGGAGCAAAGGACCCAAGGACTTCAAACAAGGCCCACTCGAAGGGCCCCGGGCCCACCTTGTGGGACAGGAGATCGCTCGAAGCCGCATCTTTCCAATACTGTGAGTCTGTGAGCTCGGTATTCACCAGGCTAAATGAAGGCTAAGTAAACAGTTCTTGGACTAGGCATGGTTGGGCTACTTTGAGCTGCTCCAACCGCGGTCAGTACTGGCTGTGAACAGGTATCGCTTCCAAGCAGAAGACGCCTATGTCTTTCGCTAATGGCCCATTTCTTCTTCTATTCCCGCGTCCATAATGAACACCATCGGAGCTAGATATGTTGGCTACTCAAGAAAACAGGACTTGAGAGGCTAAGCGGCCTAAAGATCGAGACAGCCAGTAATAACCCTCACAAGAAATACAGTATGTACTACATACAAACTAAACAAGGGGCTTACCCCCTATGTGCAGTCCTCAAACCTGAACGGTTGAGGCCGCCAGCGACCATTGAGTCATGCCCCCGATCGTCGGGCCACCACCAATTTCAACCGCTGCTCGAGCTCGTTGCACTTTACCTTCTCCTTATGAAGCTCAAAAGCACTGGCTAAATCACACAAAAGCCCTCGGATGGCATCAAATGCGCGATCGTCAAACAGGCTTGCTTCTTCACACTCCAGCTTGCAAATGCGGGCCTCTGCGAGATACATATTCCTTTTGTGCTGGGTTCTTCTACTTGCTACCTCGAACGGCATCGCACAAAGCATGTTCTCGACCATTTGAACATCTTTACTGCCCTGGGCGTGCAACATTTCAATGTGGCACAATGTCAGTGTGTTGTTCAGGTAGCCATCGTACCAACCGGCCTGACAGCAGCAAGAAATGCCCCGCTCGACTTCCCTCTTGAGACTCGTTCGCAAATCATCAACGCTCTTGCCCAGCAAGTCGCCAACAAAAGCAGCTTTGCCAATGGAAGCAGCATCTGCTTCCCAGCACCCGCAAATCAAAGAAACTTCAGCAGCCACGAGCGGACTCATGTGCGCTGTGTCTGCAACTTCGTGCATTTGGCAAATGCATCGATATGCCTGACGCAGGCCTGGCATGATGACAGTCACAAGTAAACTTCCTGTGCTAAGGAAAGGGTCAAAAAGCCACAAAACACCCAAACATCTCGGATCTCCTAGTAGATCGTAAAAAATACCCGTTGTATACTATTAATACTGTTCGTACACAATTCGTGTCTCGTACAGTAGCTACTAAAGTATGTGGGCAAGTTGCTGCGCTCAACTTCTTCATTTGTGCCACTTGCTTTAGCTTTGTTCCGCCAGTTAGCTGCCATCCATGCGTAAACAAGTGCGCTCAGCGAGGATGTGTACTGAAAGTGCTGATTGTTCTCCTTGATTGTGTCCAAGCAGGATGTCAAATGCTGCCTCAAAGAGCAGTCTTTTCCAAGGACTGACAGAACAACAAAGCCTTCGAGGCCATACTATATGGCATCATGCTGTGTCATTGCCCGAGTTAAACCAACTTCAAGCATGACAAATACAACAAATCTGCAAAAATGCTGCTACAGCTTCTCAAGGCGACAGTGCCCGGTCAAAAGCCCCAGTATAGTAGTGCTGAAAATGCCATAGCACCTGAAAGGCCATCTCGTCATCACTCAGTGTCACCTCCTCAACCAACATGTCCTTGTTCTGAGTTCGTAGTGTGGCAAAATAGCGAGCCTGGCAAGATTTCGCATCATCCCATTGCGAGCAAGCCAGCAAATCTCTCGCCTGTTGGAAAATGCCGCAGGTGCGTTGGTCCACCAGCAATTCCTCCTTCCGCATCAATGGGCGCCTAGCACTCTGCAGCTCTTCCATAACTGGACGGAAGCGCCACCTTTGCCATTCCGCTCCATGTTGACTGGAAGCGTCTGTCAGATCAATGAGAAGGCGCACTTGTGCTTCCACATCCATGTTTGCCAACCTCTTCGCAAGGAAGTCAAGGCACTTCTTTGGTAGAGCTTTGATGATGCGAACTGGATCCTTCTTCCGAGTCACAAAGCTCAACTTCCATCCCACTCGCTCCACATCCAAACCTGCCACTGTCATCGCTACAGGACGCTGCGGCAAGACGAACAACACAGGTGAGGGCTGCCATCGCTGCTCAATCACCCACTTGCAGAGAAAGCTAGTGTCCGGCCCGCAGTCTTCCTCGTAGTCAGCCACAGACGTGCCTGTGTCTAAACAGGCAGCTTGTACCATCACATTGGGAAAGCGGAGCCTTGCGGCCTTATTCACCCAAAAGCCGGAGTGGCAGCAGTCCAGCAGAATGAAGAGAAGCTTGTTGACATCATTCACATGTCCGAGAACCACCCAGAGGCGTAACACATCCTCAAAGCGCAGCCACCCTTCCCGAGTGCTGGCAATCTCACCCGCAACCGGTGCTCCATGGGATGCAAGCACCAGGACAAATGTTTGCACATTCTCATGGAAGAAGCTCTCTACGATATCGCAAGACTCCTTCTTGCGCAAGCTGCTGGTGACGCAACGAGACTTGGCACTCAGAGGAATGCCAACATCTTCA